ACAACAGACTAGCTTCATAGGATTCATATTTATCCCCTTAAAGAGTTTATCATTCCATGATTTCCAAATGTACCAGATTATCCAAGGATAAGGACCCCTTTGTAATTCTGGTTTGACTATTGTTTCTCCGGAAGAGGTGATCCATATTGGCATAAATACTCTATAGCGGGAATATGTTTGGGATCGATGGTGTCGCTGATAGAGATCATGCTTGTAAAGCTGGTGGGTATTCAAAGATTGTGTGAGTAACAGTTTCTTTTGGTTCACCACATCTTGGACAGTAATTATCGCATAACATATCACGGCGAATCCGATTCCTCGTTCCCGCCACATGTCATGTTATCAGTTACCACATAAGATGACAAATATTCCGAAGTGCTTTTACTTTCCAAGCAAAGACTTGAAGCTTGGTTATACTGGACTCCAGGATCTCCAGCTCTTCATCACTTCTTAATAAGTTATGTTTTACCCAGTATCCAGATTTAACCGTGTACTAGATCTTGATCCGCGCTACAAAGCGCGGGTATATTATTCGTTTTCCATTTTCGGTATAATTTTCTGTAAATATCAGATATCCACTATTTAAATTAGATATGGGTGGTGTTTTGAAATCCAATCCAGACTTGTGCTGGTAAACCCGATGACCCAAAATAATTTCCGTTTGAATTTTGTAAAAAACCAATATTTAAAAATCCAATAAAACCCGTAAAAATTTACTAAAACCCAAAATACGGTTACCCTTTGAATCACTGGTTAAAAAATAAATATATATTTATTTTGTTTTTAATTATGTTTTGATTTAACTTTCTTATTTTTTTATCACATATAATTGGTAATGAGTATGTTTTATCAAAACAATATAAGACCCATTACATTATTTTATTTTTGTTTTTAGATTTTGATGAAGATTTCACTATGCCACTGGAAAAAAATGAAGTGTGCGATGGTATAGAGAACCAAAATTAGTTAATGTAGTTTGGTATTAGTTTATTTTGTTATCGTAATTTATTACAATGATTTTTTTTCTTTTTGGTTCATCTTAAATATGAAGTTTAATTTTATTATTCACATTAGACATTTAAATATTTACGAATTTTAGGTCTTGATTTTTTTATTGTTAGATGTCATAACTTTTAACTTCTTAATTTGTTACAAAAAAATAAATAATTAAACTCTTTTTGATATTTCGTATGTCTAATTGAAAATAAAAATATATGAACTAAAATTAAGTATTTTTATAAATGCTTTTTAAAATATAAAATATATACATTTTCAAACTTTTATTTTATGTTTTAAAACAATTAAAAATACTTTATTTTAGTTTCTATATTTTTATTTTCTTAGTTAATATAGTATTATATAATAAAATTAATTAAGTTATTAATTTTTGGTTCATCTGCGGTCAATCCGGTGACTCGAGAAGTCGTTTGGTTTGGTGTCCGTGGTCGATTGTGATAATTTTCAGTGAATAAAATTTTTACTTAAAAGAAATATTTAAACGATCAAAACCAACGGCAAGTCAACTATGTACTATTAAAAAGGTACAGATTGTAATGCTAGATTAAAATGTTATTAGGTGAAAAAAACATAATTTTTATAAACACCATACTATTTTGTGTTGTCTAATGTTAAATAACTTTATTTTGTGTTCGGTGAAATACATTAGTATTATCGAGAAAAATGATGGGGCTTGAACAATAAAAACAGTGATGGTTACATAAAAATAAGATATATGGATACAGTTAAAAAAATAGTTGCCGATTATTAGGAGATTTAAAGGGTGGTTACATCCATAATATTTGGATACAGTTAAAAAAAAAAATAGTTGCCGATTACTACCAATTAAATTAGTGGTTGAATCAATACATAATTTTAAATTATTAATTTTTAAATTATATTATTAAAATATGTTTATATTCTAATTAGGAAGTTAAAATTTTAGTTTTTATAAGGAAAAAAGATGATATGATCTTGTAGATTAAATAAAATCCAATACACATACCATTTAAACCACTGATTGAATCAATACATAATTTCTAATTATCATTTTTTTGTTATATTATTAACATATTCTAATTAGGAAGTTAAATTTTTAAATTTTTATAAAAAAAAAGATGATATGATTTGTTGATTATGAATCTATTAACAAAACTAATTGTTTGATTTAGTTTATTTTTATTATGAATTATCTATTATAATTTTATGATATATTCACTGTATATATATATATTGTAAAATATAATAAAAGAAAATCCACAAGAAACACGTGTAACTAATTGGTATGAAAAAGTAATTTATATTATTTTCTATCATCAGGTAATACAACATATTTGTTATTATATTCTGTATGTATAAAATATAAATAAAAAAAATCTTCAACTGCGTTATTGATGGTTCTATTAAGATAGTATTATTGACGTTTTATAGTGATCACAAAATATTATAACTTGTTTCAAAAATCGTTTCACATTAAAAAAAAAATCTGAATAATCTTTGCGGTTACGGATGGTTGTAGATAAATAAATATAAAAATATTTTCTAAAAGTATTTTAAATTTAAAATTTTAAAATTTAAATATTATAAATAAAAATATTATAAAATTCATTTTATATTTTAATTTATAGTCACTATAATTTATATTACACAAAATTTAAACCAAGAATATCCACTATAATTTGAAGTATTAATATTTCTGTTGCTGAAGATATGTAATTTAAATAGTGTAATCCAATTTCTTAAGGTTATTAAATCTATCAAAGTATTCAGGTTTCTTAACAATAGAAGAAAGAACTAAACCCATATTAAAATTCATAATCCAATTTGGTTTAATCAATTTACGGGTTAGCTGTATTAATATTAGGATGATATGCTTTTTTTCAAAAATAATAATAATATGATGATATAGCATTACATACTATAGAGGGTTGTAGATTTCTAAGAAAATATATATGTTACAGAACTAACATCAATCAGTCTACAATTTTAACTATTATCAATTGTTAGTGGATCCCTACTATTAAGGGATTAAAATAGTGGTTACAAAATTTATATTTACATATACTTAGAAAATATTTTGTGAGATTATTTTGTTGAACTAAACTTATATCAATGGGGTATATGATCCAAAATTTATAGTATTGATTAGTGGTTTTATGTGTAGTTTTAACAGTAGATATCACGACGATGAATTAAGTTTATAGACAAATATTTTATAAAAATATGTCATCATGGACAACATATTTTTTAAGTAATCCAACATCTCACTCCTTTGATCCTTCATTAATAAGATCATTGACTTGCATTCGGTCGAGCGGAACCCATATGATATTTTTGTTTAATGAGATCATTTATGTAATTTAGTTTTATACATTTTCAATAAGTGTTGATACATACGAACCCATACGATATTTTGTGTATCTAAAAGACTTGCACTAACAAATTTTGTATTTTTTATATTTCTGTACAAAGCTTATAAAATTTGAGTCTACTCTTCAAATGAAATGCAGCAATTAAATTTATTAAGCACTTTTTGCAAAACTTTTTTTTTTATTTTGACAAAGACTAACAAATCTTATATATTAAAACAGAAGTCACAACCTTGATTCATGTGTGATTTTTTAAAAAATGAAATATTCCTTAGAAAGATTATGAAGATTATCAAATGTTACATAATTTAATGATAATATCTTTAAATATCTTTGTCTTTCTATTTGTAATACAAATGAAATTACTCCAAAAAATATCTTTTTGGCATCTTTTTAAATTTTATTTCCATAATATTACCCTATATCTATATCTTTTATTTGAAATACAAATATTTCTGTTTAAGATATTAAAATTTATTTAGATAACATTATACATTCCTAAATTCTAAATAAAAAATTATATACTAGAGTTTGGCCCACACAGATTTTTCATTTATAAATAGAACATTTTGATAGTATTATAAAAAATGTAAATATATGATTTACATTTAATGTTCTATGTTATATAACTATAATTGTTTTGATTGTTATTACTTACTAATATATTTTTGAGTTTGGTACATAAATTATAATCTGAAATAATCAAATATATAATCTTCTTTAATATAAAGTTTTAGTTTCTACAATTTGCATACAATACATTTTAACATTTATTTAGATATATTATAAATAAATATTTGTTAATGATAATTTATATTTTCATGTTATGTTTAAAAATGATACTTTAACATCTATTATTTTAGTATTTTCTGAAATTTTATAAATAAATATATTATTATTTATTGATAATTGTTTTTATAAATTATAAATAAAAAGAAAATCCGCACGGTTGTGCGGGTCAAGATCTAAATACTGTTAAGTGATATACTAACATTTTTTAATATTACAAATTCTTTACGAAAAGAATATAAAAACAAGCTCACCCAATTCATCATATACAGTATATATTCTTTGTTTGATAAATATATAACTAAAGAATTAAAATACAATGACTAAAATAATGTTTTTTATGTTTTTGTAAAACATTATTTTTATTAATTTTGTAGAAAATCATAGGTAAGTATAAAATATATTTTATAATGATACTTTTTGTTCATCAATGGTTTTAAAATCATCTTTACAATATAATATTTCTATTTAAAAATATTATAAATTTATTAAAATTGTATTTATATTTAATTTTATTCCCAATAAAAATAAATTCTGGCTGCGTCACTGGTTGACTATGTTGTTGCAAACCAGTCCACCAGTAAACACCTGAGACAACAATGGAAAACACAAATTCGTATCATTTTGAAAAATAAAAATATTCTATAAAAAATATCTGGAAGGTATTTAACTATATATTTCCTATTTAAAACAATTTCGACGACAAAAACAGTTTTTTATCATAGACATATTAATTGCGACGAATATTTTACGTTTCCAAATCATTTTCGTGAAATTCCATTTTTTTAACACTACCATCTTTTTTCTCCTAATAGAAGAAATAAAAATAAACTCATGAGTTCATGTGTTTTGCAGAGTTCATAGAGAATCAAACCTCTCCTATTACCAGTCTGTTCTTCGCTGGAATCAACTCTCTTTTCATATTATTTTATTCATTAAAAAAAAATTCAAAATCTGAGTTTTCGGTTGCTTGATCTATTTCACTAAGCTCTGTTCCTCAACTAGCCTTTCATGGGACCGTTACATCTCCTCGATATCTTGTCTTAAAAAAGGTAGTTTCTATCGTGTTCTGTCTTAATATATATGCTTTGATCTTAGAAAGTTGCCACCTTTACTGTATTTCTAGTTCAATATCTATCTGATTGAATCTTTCACCCGATCTGTTACAGTTTCTTTGTTGGGTCAAGATGGGTGTTGAAAAGTTTGAAACTTTCATCTTCCTTTCGACGATTACGTGCTTGATTTGCACCTGCCATGGATTCACACCGCAAGATAATTACTTAATCAACTGTGGCTCACCGGCCAATTCGACCCTCATGGATCGAGTCTTCATGTCCGATAAGCTCGCCTCGAACTTACTCACCTCTTCTCCCAAACCAGAGATCCTCGCGAGTCAAAGCAGCAGCAGCTCCGACGTTTACCAGACTGCGAGAGTCTTCACCGGAGCCGCTAGCTACAAATTCTCCGTCGCTCGTGGCCGTCACTGGGTTCGTCTCCATTTCAATCCATTCAATTACCAAAACTACCAAATGAGTTCAGCCAAGTTCGCGGTTTCGTCGCAGACTCATTTGCTCTTGAGCGATTTCACAGTTAATGGCTCTCAAGTTGTAAAAGAGTACTCTTTGAATATATCCACTGACGATCTCGTCCTCACATTTACTCCCTCTGCTAGTTCGTTTGCGTTTGTGAACGCTATTGAGGTTGTATCCGTTCCGGACGAATTGATCGCCTCTTCTTCTCCTGCTCCGAAGCTTGTAGGCGGTTCAGGGATGTTTCAGCAGAGCTTGTCAACGCAGGCTTTCCAAACCATTTATAGACTCAACATGGGCGGTTCCCTCGTTACACCTAACAACGATACTCTTACAAGAACCTGGGAGCCTGATTCGGATTTTCTGCTTTCGAAGAATCTAGCCAACACCGTTTCTAAGATTTCATCTGTTAACTTTGTTCCAGGCTTTGCAACAGAGGACACTGCGCCAAAAACCGTGTATGGTACTTGCACTGAGATGAGTAATAGTTCCGGTGACCCTACTAGCAATTTCAATGTGACGTGGGAGTTCAACGTTGATCCTGGTTTTCAGTACTATTTACGCTTCCACTTCTGCGATATCGTCAGCTTGGCTCTCAACCAGCTGTATTTCAATCTTTACGTGGACTCAATGCTCGCTGCTAATGATGTAGATCTCAGCACTTATGTGAACACATTGGCTGGTGCATACATCATGGATTTTGTCACGCCCTCACCTAAAGGTACTAATAAAATCCGTGTTAGCATCGGTCCATCGAATGTCCGCACTGATTATCTGAATGGTATTGTTAACGGGTTGGAGATCATGAAGATGAATAACTCTCGAGGTCACCTAAGCACCGGTACATTTGTTCCAGGTAGTGGTAGTACGAGTACTAAGCACAAGAGTGTGGGGTTCATTCTTAGTGCAACCATTGGTCCGTTGCTCGTGTTAATCCTCTTGGGAGGTTGTTTTGTGTTCTGCAAGAAGCGGAAACGCGGCGAAGACGGTCATTCCAAGACATGGATGCCGTTTTCGGTAAACGGAATGTCCGTGGGAAGCAAAGTCTCATATGGAACCACACTCACGAGTATCACAACCAATGCCAATTACCGTATCCCCTTTGCAACGGTTAAAGACGCTACAAACAACTTCGACGAGAGTCGAAACATCGGTGTTGGAGGTTTTGGTAAAGTCTACAAAGGAGAGCTGAACGATGGCACGAAAGTAGCTGTGAAAAGAGGAAACCCGAAGTCTCAGCAAGGACTTGCTGAGTTCAGGACAGAGATCGAGATGTTGTCGCAGTTTCGTCACCGCCATTTGGTTTCTCTGATTGGTTACTGTGATGAGAACAGCGAGATGATACTGGTTTACGAGTATATGGAGAATGGAACTGTGAAGAGTCATCTTTACGGCTCGGGTCTTCCTAGCTTGACTTGGAAGCAACGGCTTGAGATCTGCATTGGCGCGGCTAGAGGATTGCATTACCTTCACACTGGTGACTCAAAACCTGTCATTCACAGAGACGTGAAATCCGCGAACATATTGCTTGACGAGAACTTCATGGCTAAAGTTGCAGATTTTGGACTGTCTAAGACCGGACCTGAGCTTGACCAGACTCATGTGAGTACCGCTGTGAAAGGTAGTTTCGGGTATCTTGACCCTGAGTACTTCAGAAGGCAACAGCTCACTGAGAAGTCAGATGTTTACTCCTTTGGTGTGGTTCTCTTCGAGGTTCTTTGTGCTAGACCCGTTATAGATCCGACGCTTCCGAGAGAGATGGTGAATCTTGCGGAGTGGGCAATGAAATGGCAGAAGAAAGGGCAGTTAGATCAGATCATTGACCAGTCGCTTCGTGGAAACATCAGGCCTGATTCTTTAAGGAAATTTGCGGAGACGGGTGAGAAATGTTTGGCTGATTATGGAGTTGATAGGCCGTCTATGGGAGATGTGTTGTGGAATCTTGAATACGCTCTGCAGCTACAAGAAGCGGTCATAGACGGCGAACCAGAAGATAACAGCACGAATATGATTGGAGAGTTACCTCCGCAGATCAACAATTTCAGTCAGGGAGACACGAGCGTTAACGTTCCGGGAACCACGGGAAGATTTGAGGAATCGAGCATTGATGATCTCTCTGGTGTTTCCATGAGTAAAGTATTCTCTCAACTTGTGAAATCCGAAGGAAGATGATGAGAGGTTAGGCAATGGCCATAGAAAGCGAAAAGATTTGATATTGTAACAGGAAAGGAAGCAGAGCATGTATTGAGTAAAAAGAAGCATCAGGTCTTTTGTCTACTCTAGCTGTTTCTTCTGCTGATTTTTCATCAGTAATGATACAACTAGTTTGAAAAGTTTCCTCTTGAGTTTGTATGATATTTTTTTTTTGTTGCGTTGTTTCTAAGTACGTTTTAATACACTTGTTGCTTCAGTTGTACTGTAACTGTAAGTTTAGAAGTTCAAAACTTATTAGTTCTGTATGTTCTTGTTTGGGTTTGATTTTGTTTTGTTTTAGTTCTTCTTCAATCATTTTGGGGGGTTTTATCTTCCAGTAGTATTGTTCCGATTCCATTGGGTTATTTCTTTCTTCACCACAGTCATGTCTTGAACCACTGTGTCTAACTTACACTGCTAAACAAACTTGCCAAAATTATTTTGGTTTATTAATTCTCATAAATCTCAAATGATTGTTTTGCTTCATGGATCAATATTTACTTTAGTAGAGGACGTACAAGAAAAACATTTCCATACGAGCCTCAAAACAAATCCCCTACATGGCGTTGCTTTGCTCTTTTTCCTCATACCTTTCTCGTTGTCTCTGCAGACTTCTTTTTCCCTCCTCTGTTCGACTGGTCACCGGTGTTACCGCCACCTCGACCACCTTCGTCTTCATTTTCTTTTCTAGTGAAAGTGTAGCTTCTGAGGTACATTTGCCTACAAGATATGTTGTTCATCACCATGACACCATGGTATGATGCTCGCTATTGCTCTGGCTGATTGACTGGACAAACTCCACCTCTGCCATTGGCCACTTGTGGAGGTTGCTTTCGATGTTTACACTGCATTTGGAGGCCACTAAACCTTTTTGGTGGGTACTTTAATCTTCTTGTGTGAACAGTTTTCCTTCTTTTGTGAACATTGGCTTTAGGCGTTTAGGTTGTTATATGTATACATATATTTTTTATTTTAAAATAAAATCATCAGAGGAAAAAGTTGAGAGGTTTTCTTAACTTTGTCAACTCTATTTTCTAATGTTTATTTATTATTATGAAAAAGCTCTCCTCCTTTTTTTTTCTTTTTTTTTGGGTGTAACCTCCTATATTTAATTTATTTTTGACAAAATTTAGTGTATTAAAAATAAATCTACAGCAAAATAATCAAAGCCAAAGCAAGAGTAAGATATTTTCTGAAGTTAACCTCCTATATTTATTGCGCGCATTATGAAATCCATTCATTCTTCCGAGTCAAAATCTTACACGATTTTCCCCGATTCCTCTCTATACGTGTTGTGACAGACGTGAGAAGATACAGATTAACAGATTGGATGAACAGAAAAGAAAGACACAAATATTTAACATGGTTTGATCCACGGGCAAAAGGATTACTTTATTAGTGGAGGCTAGTTTTTCAGAGTATAACTCGTGTTACAGAATAGGGTAAAACCCTAAAGATATATAAGAAAACGTTTAATGAAACTTTCCATATTTTCTCGGATTTGACACATATCGATCGATACACAAGCTCTTGTATCGATCGATACGTGTCCAGTCAGATTGACCGATACATGACACTTGTATCGACCGACGCAGATTCAAGGCATATTTCAACAAATCTCCACTTTGACTTGAATCCTCCATAATCAGATGTACCAGGATGCACTTCTTTGTGCTCAGATGTACCAGACTCTCTCTTTGCCTCAGATGTTCCGTCGAACTCAGATGTTCCGTCGAACTCAGATGTCAGATGTCCCGTCGGACCAGATGCTCCTCAGAGCCAGATGCCCCTTAGGGCTAGATGCCCCTCAGGGCCAGATTAACAGCTTGAGATGTTCAGCAAATCAAGACAATGCTTGAACTTGCTGTGAGGAACCGGCTTAGTGAACATATCTGCAGGATTATCAGCTGTTCCTACCTTCTTCACTTCAATCCTCTTCTCATCTCTCAGAAAATGGTATCTTACATCAATATGCTTGGTTCTCTCATGATGAACCTGATCCTTGGTTAAACAGATAGCACTCAAACTATCACATAACACAGTAGCCTGATCATGATGAAGACCGAGAGGACCAACCCTTTCAACCATATTGCCTCCTTAGCAGCTTCTGTCAATGCCATATACTCTGCCTCAGTTGTAGACAAAGTCACTGTCGACTGTAAAGTCGCCTTCCAGCTCACAACAGAACCACCTAAAGTAAATATGTAACCAGTCATAGATCTCCCACTGTCCACATCTCCTGCATAATACCAATCAGAATAGCTTGTAACCAGTCTTGGATCCTTGTCTCCATAGACAAGACCAACATCAGATGTACCCTTAAGGTACCCAAAAAACTCGAACTCAGAATTCAGCAGCTCTTTCAGCTTCTGAACATCATACATCTTCTTGGAAGCTATCAGCTTGTCATCTACATACAGCACTAGGTAAATACACAAAACATCCTCCACCTTGCTTATGTAAAAACAACAGTCATAAGGACTCCTGTCGTAGCCCAACTTGACCATATAGCTGTCACACCTCTTATACCACTTGGGAGTTACAACCTTTCTCTTAGGTGATAGTGTGACCAAATCCCATGTATGATTCTTCTCATGAGAATCTATCTCATCTTCCATTGCAATAAACCATTTCTCAGACTCAGAACTAGAAATAGCTTCTCTGTAAGTGGATGACTCGTAAGTATCCACTTCCTCTGCAACCTGCAGTGCATAACCCACCATATCATCAAAGTGATATCTCTCTGGTGGCCTGACATCAACTCTCCTTGGTTTATCTTTAGCACTACTGCATTTTTCAGACCCAACACGTTGATTTTTAGAATTAGAGGACTCGTCTGACGTCGATCGTTCGATCTCTTCTTCCGATGTCGATCGATACTGACCTTCTGACGTCGATCGACACTGAACATCTGACGTCGATCGACACTGTTGATCCGTCATCGATCGACACCGCTGACCCGTCATCGATCGACACCGCTGACCCGTCATCGATCGACACTGCTGATCCGTCATCGATCGACACTGTTGACCCGTCATCGATCGACACGGTTCATCCGACTGCACTTCCTGCAGCTCCACCTGTTTGTCAAAATCCCAATTCCTCTTCTCCAAACCTTCATTAGAAAACAAGCACCTCGTTTTCTCCAGAAAAGTTTGGTTCATATCTGCTACACCATTCTGCTGTGGTGTATCTCTGACTGTAAGATGCTTTGTAGCTGTTGCATCCTTACAAAACTGATTGAACTCTGATGAACAAAGTTCCAGACCATTTGCTGAAACTGTAGAACCTTCCAGCAAATACAGAGTACTGATATCACTCAAATGTTTAACCTTACGGAGTGAATTACTCTCTCAAATAAGAGGTTCAATCGTAGTACTTAGGGATCGAATCCACAGAGAGCAGGAGCACACAATAGACTATAGAAATCAAGGTTAAGCTAGGTAAACAATTTATAAAACAGTAAATAAAAGTAATGTGAACAAAGTAGTTGTTCGGTTGGTTGAGTTTATAAATAATAAAGAGAAATAGCTAGACCTAGGGATTTATCAATCAAGAGATTCAAAACAACAATTCAAGATGCTAACAGCTTATAGATTCATTCTAGAACTCGATTTTAATAAGTAAGTAATCCATCTATCAATACAATTACTAATCAGATGTCTAAGTCCTTGTTCCACCTTTCGCATGCGAACAAGAAGTGAGTATCGATCGATACTATGGCCTGAGTATCGATCAATATTACCTCAGACAAGCATTAACGACCTAATCGATTATGTTCAACTAGATTCCTAGACCAAATTCTCATATGCGCCTAAGTATCTAATCCAGCAGGATTCGGATTCCGTTAATTGACTGCACTTTCGTGCATCTCAATTATCCCATGATTCTAGGTTCAAGCAATCAGTCACACTATCGTGGTATCCTAATTACTCCAGATCCTAGTATTACAAATCACCCTGGTGTAGAGATCTATAGATATTCTAGCAATCCTAATGGATTCAGTTTAACATTAAGCTCATCAAATCCCTAAACCTAACAAGATGAACTACTCAGACATGATAGAAGAAACACAAATCATAGTCAGAATAATAATAGTATAAGAAAATAAAGATAATTCCAATGGAGTTCCAAGAGGACTCTGAAGGAGTTCCCCTCTTATCTCCTCACTAATAACAATGGAACAAGGATGAAAAGAAAGCGTTGTGTAAAGCGTAGCCGTCAACAATGGCTTGCAAATAACATAAATAGGGTTTCTGGTCGTCCAAGGGCATTCTGGTAATTTAGGTTTCTCCTGGGCTTCAATTGGTCACGAAATATACTCGGCCTGCATTCTGGCATCCATATCGATCGATATGAAGGGTTTCTCATCGGTCGATATACATTACTCTTCTCGAAAGCCTTCTCTCGCGAGGCAGACTAAACACTCTTCAGTAAAACAGGTATAACTTCTGATCTAATCGTTGGATTGACCTCAAACTGGTGGCATTGGAAAGCTAACTAAAATCTCTATCTGGTGTCACAATATCTGCTAAATCGCACCATGGGAAGGTCTCTATCCATATCTAAACATTTGACACGTCTGCGCAGTTTTGCACTTAAAGGCTCCAAAAGACACCAAAATCACCATATTTCTCCACAACGTACTTGAACCTGTAAATACTCTAAATAGACTCTATATCATAGTAAATATACATAAAAACATATCAATACCATGACCAAAAGTGGGTCAAAATCATGGTCTATCAACTCCCCCAAACTTACCCTTTTGTTTGTCCTCAAGCAAAACATACATGCAGTCTCTCTGAAAGAGGTTTGAAAACAGCAGGGACACAAAATATTTTAAAAACTCAGTCACCATCTCTCTAGTAGTGCAAACCAAATCATAAACATCCTAACCTTAGAAGCACATTATACAATATCCTAGTATAGCAACCAAATTCACCTAGTCAACAACTCAACATATTCTGTCTGACAATCCCCTCCACTAACCTCATTTCTTGCATAAAATAAAAGTGTAGGCTTTACCTTGGGAGTATCGATCACGGAACACTTGGATTCAACTCAAGCAAGTTTCTGAGTAAATAGGCAGTCTTATTCTGTTTTTTTTTCTCCCTATATCTCCCTTCTCTGAATCCCAATTTTTTTTTTTTTTATACCAATCCCAATGAACAACTGATGTTCATCTTATTGATCTTTCTAATTTTTGTAGCTCTTTTCTGACAAAGTGTAGGGGAATAGTGGGGTCATGGGTAATTTACATCTCCCTCGCTTCCACATTGTGTGATCATTCCTTTGAATTAGAATAGTGGGGTCATGGGTAATGTACCTCTCCCTCTGCCTCTCAGGAAATCATCTCAATCTTTTTATTTTTCTCTTTTTGGATGCCAAAGGAAGGAGAGAAGGAAACCAAAAATTTACAGACTTGTACCTTTCAGACTTGCAGGAGGATTCCGATCCCTTATATACCAAGCCCCAAGACAAGCAAATCAAGTCAATATTAGGTTGGAGGTCAGCTTAGGTTCCTTCAAACATTCTCAGCAAGTGCAAACATAGTTGACAGATTGATCCACTTTAGTATCTTTAGTACTTCTGCGGTCAGTAAATCTAAGACTGGTCTAAAGAGTGGTTAGATGACAAGTAATAAATCGAAATAAATCATCATCCCCTTCTTGACTCAATAAAAAAAAATTGAAAACATTTTAAATAAGACTAATAAAGTAGATAAACGTTAGTAATCCCCCCCAAACTTAAATTACACTGTCCCCAGTGTAACACAGTCGGTGGTAAGGTGAAAATCATAAAGCAAAAGTACGAAATTTAACAAGTATGAACGATATACCTGACCGGA